ACCAAACAGTAATCAACATTTAATTTCAATGACCCAATTGTCACAATGTTTTAAGTTCACTGACAAACTTGAAACAAAATAAAGACTGTTGACCAACACTAAAGTTTCCCTAACAGTTCATTGTTCACAAGATGCTGCCGTATGAATAAAGTAAACCTTAATTCAACTGGACTACATGGTGAAAAAATAATAATAATAATAATAAAATTTGTTGTCTGCATGAACAGATCAGCTGCTCTCAAGCAGCTTTGATGCATACAAACTCCACCATAAGATCAAAAGTGAAGCTTGAACTTTGGTTGGAGGAGATACTTGGATTTTTATTTTTTATTTTTTTCTACTGACTGTTTTTGTTGATGTGAATAATGGCTTCTCTATCACCAATTATGACAGATGTACCAAAAGTTGGAGCAACCTTGAACATATCAATAAACCAACTTAATATTGCAATTTCATAGGATAAATGTCACTTCATAAATAAAAAAGCATGTTTTAAATCTAACTATAAGGAATATCCCAATGGCATGGGCAGAAGAATCACAATTTGAATAAAATTTAATTTGTAAAGCACCATATACCAACATGAAGTCCATCCATAACTTTGGGGTATTGATATTTGTATCCTTAAAAGAATGTTTGAATTTTACCATAAAGTATCCATTCTTTCGTTTCAAATAGCCTGCTTTGTTATTTACCTGAATGGTCATTTCTCGGGGGTAAAAAACATCTTAAGATTTTATTGCATAGTCCTTGTCACCGAAATTGATTACTTGAGTAGTTGGAATCTCAATTGTGTATACAATCGCAGTAGATTTATAAATCATAATGCAGGTGAATGTTTAAAACCAAACTGTAGAGGATGGTATATCAAGACCAAACCATTAGGCATTACGTGCCAACAAACATGATACAAAATAATTACGAAAATGGTCTCTACCTAAGTATTTTTTTACTAGTTTAGCTTTACCCTTGTAAAAATTATAAATTTGTGTTCCTATTTATTACAAGTATTTTTTTTATTTTTTTTGAAACTGATCTCATAACCTTCTAGCAACAATAGAACATGCTTTCTTGGATATTTAGCTTCATATTAAAACCATGTCAACTTAAAATTTAATAAATAAAAGAAAAAAAGAGTATTATGATGAACAAACCTCCCGATGCCTAGCATTTTCAGCATCCTCTGCATCAGTTTGTTCTTTACTCAGTTTCATGATGTCATCAAGGAATCTCTGCTCAAGACCTTCAAAAGTCTGTGACATGCTATTGTCTTTGTATCCTATGTCCATATCCTCTTCGCGAGGCAGATGTCTGGGATCACTACCACTTTGTTTTTCTAATAGCATCTGAGGATCCGGCCTCTGATCTTGGTAGTAGGATCTAGAAGCTTGATATCCTTGACCTATAACAAAAATCTTCAAGTTAACACCCAATAGAGAGAGCGTGTGAGTTTTTTCCTCTTTCTCATCAGGGGATTGGGTAATGGATTGGGCAGGTCCTTGAGGGATGCTAACAAAAGAAAATTAAACCCTTCTGAGCTTAACCTATCAAACATTTAAGATCGCAACAATGTCGTCAGCTTTGGTAAATGAAAATATATGGCATGTTTGGCAAAGCTCAAAAGTAACTTAAAAAAAGGCTTTGTTTCCAAACATGGATATGTAAAATGTGCGTGGATCGAAGATATGGTGGTAGGAAGTTAAAAGAATGATCACTTCTAAAAACATTTAAATAACTTGCCTAAGATACAGTTCATGTTTTCAAAGACAAAATCTATTGACAATATAATCAAAATAACCTCATCTTACATAAATTTCAAAAACTCTTGAGATCATACAATTCCAATAGGTGATAGAATAAAAAGTTTACTTTATTTACGGATAAGCAAAGAGCACAGCGTTCAACAAGACTAATTCTTGTATGTACATAGTTCAAACTATGATGGCACCTCAAACACAAGACATCTTATGTTAGTCGCTTGAAGCACTTTATAAACAACAATAATGCAGAAACTGAGAACAACTGTCAGAAGCCGATCAGGCCTTGCTCCCTTTGAATTTTCAAATATACTCTTCTCATTGAGCTTTGAATATTTCAATTTATAGCCAGCCTTGCGAAAGCAAATTTAAGGTGCTGCTCTACAATGACATTTGGAGTCAGGTTAATATCTCCTAAATGTTAGGCAAATATAATAATGCCACATTTTGTAGTTACACCAGAAGTTAAAGGTTCTACATGAGCTCCAGTTCTGGAGTGTGGTCAGGACCGCTAGGGAATGGTTCCAGGCATACATAGGCAGGTCTAAGTATGCATGGGACATCCAAATGAATATGTCCAATTCCTTGTCTTTGGATGAATGTGGTGATTTAGAGGTCAATTCCGGTCTATGGTCCCTTCAAGTGAGGGTTAGGCAGGCAACACGGACTCTCAGACTCTGGCTATGTGTGTGAGGCTCCAAGAAGCAAATGAGGAGAATCCCAAATAGCTCATGGTGAGGTTGCACTTACTCCAAGCCACTTCAAACAGCTGGTTATGAAAGAAAATAGAAGTTCTAATCTTGGACCGACCAGAAGTACTCCAATAAACAAAATGATCTAAAAGTGAATGGGTGTTCTGCAAATGTCAGTGCACTAAGAATCAAATGCAATATCCAAGTAGGAACAAATTTCTATAAAGTATTTAATTATTTCCAATACCCGCAAGTACATGATATATACTTTTCAAGTAAACCCTTCATGTTTGCTTTTCAATATCAAAAATCTGTTTGAAGCTTCGAAATCAATTAGTATTTCTTAAAAAGTGCTTCTATATATGATTTTTGAATGACTTGAAAAAAAAAAAAATAAGGTAACCAATTAATTCTTTTCTGCAGATTTATAAATATACTTTTGCTTCCTCTTCCTACAACTTAAATCTTGTTCTAGTTGGACAATAAACAGATAGGCTTAACAAACCCTCTAAACCCCCAAGCAAAAGACTGATTCATGCATTTTGCAAATGAAATCATTAATGAAAATGCCGACATCGCACGTACATGAACTACCCACAAAAGAAACAAAACTAGTACACTTCCAAAAATAAATAAATAAATAAATTCAAACACGTGGTAGTTTCCATTTATAATTTTATATAGGAAGAAACATTAAAATGTTTAATCTTTGGCATTTAATACACAAGACGTCTGGTATCATATATATCTCCACCCAAAGAAAAAAATAAAATAAAATAAAATAAAATCATTATATATCTCTTTCCTCTTCTGACAAGAAGGAAGCACAGAGAAAATTAACAAAATAGAAAAAGTAAAGGCAGGCAGCAGACATAACCCCTACTCCTAGCAAATAATACTCCTTTTCCCACCCCAAATTAGTTGATCCAACAAAGCAGTACGCGTGATTACATGCCATAATTCCAAAGATAACAATTTCTTAACAAAACCCACGATAAATTACACGTAATCCAAAGGAAAAAACCTAAACGAAGTAAAATAGAAAACTTGCCTTCGTCAAATGATGCACGGGGTGACATGGAATCCATAGGCAACTTATTGTGACCTCCGTCTCTTTCCCATCTCCATTGGTTGTGATGATGATTAGGGTCCTTCTCCTGCTGCTCTTGGTGACGTCCTTGTTGATATCCAGACCTGTTTTCCTGCTGCTGATTCAATTGGGTTCCGTATGCGCCACGACCACCAACACGGCCCCGGCCACGGCCGCCTGAATCACCCCTGTAATGCCCCCTTCTCATTTTCAATATTATTAGTAGTTACTAATTATCGAGTAATTTATCTGCGAAAAAGGATTTGGGGTTTGTCTTAATATGTAAATTAGGAAATTGATTCACCTATATATATATATATATATATATATATATAGATTCAATGTACAAGTCTTGATGCGTTAGGTACCTATGTTGTATAAAATGACATTTTATTATCCTCTCTATTTGAAGCGTTTCCTGAAAATGACGAGACTTGACCTCTAGATATTTAGGGAAATATTTCTAGATAGCCTAAATAAAAAGGAGTTTTGTAAGATTAGATCAAAAAATATAAACATTTAAAAAATAATCTTTGAACAATAACTTTTCCAAAAATACCCCTTATTGTAAAATTACAACCAAAGTCACTACAATGTATAAAAACCTTCAATTAGGTCCTCAAAGAAATATAGATCAAAAATCTTTGATAAATTTAAATCCAAATATTATACAAAATTTTATTGATCTAAAAAAGGCAACAGAAAATGAATTAAAACATTTAGAAGAAGATCTGAAAAGATTCTTTACAGAATATTTAGATCCAAAATTAAAAAATGAAAATATTTATATAGATAATAGTACAATCAAAACAGAAAATGATATATATAAACTAATTCTTAATCTGAGAAGAAGAATTAAAGAACTAAATATAATTATTAAAGAAAAAGTATTAATAAAAAATAGTCAATTTTATAAATTCTATTGTGATATTTTAAATACTTATGAAGATTTTAATTGGCTCAAAAATCTTAACCCCTCCACTGCAGACTCTGACGAAATGGTATCAAAGTCATGTTACGAACCAAAAATTATGATGAATATAGTAGATGAAGAAAATATAATTGAAAATTTTTTGAAAAAGGTTGAAAAACATAAAAAAAACCTAGTTATCCCTGTTTACCTAAAAACACTACAAATAAAAGTTTTGAGGATATACACAAAAGATTAGAAAATCTAGAATATAATCTACAAGTAGGAATCGCTCTTTTAGATAAAAATTTTAAAGGAAAAGATAGGATTATAATTAATCCACCTCAAGATTTTAGGATAACACAAAAAGAAAATAATAAAAGGAAAAAACATAAAGAAAAACAATATATGATTACAGATAATGAAGAAAATTCTTAGAATATATAGGTGAAGAGTATGAAGAATATAAAAAACAGTTAGAACAATTAACTGAAAAATGAAAAATATAAAGATGAATATTAATTCATCTTCAAGTCAGAATATAAAAGTAGAATTCAGTAGTGATTAGACTGTGTAGATAAAAATAAAGCTATTGAAACATGGATGAAAAGTACAGATTTAGCAATACAATTTAATAAATGGGAAACATATACAACTTTTGGATTTATAGAACATACATTCAGAGGAATTGTTTCTGAATGGAGGAGAAAATTACTAGAAACTATTAAAGGAAGGATAAAGTATGGAGCAGGTAGAACCGAAGTATTAGATAATAGAAATACTTTAAATGAACAAAATATTCAGGAGATATTAAAAAGGTTTGAAAAAATCTTAAGAACGGAATTCTTAGGAGATAGATATACTTCTAATGATGAAGAAAGAAAACAAGATGAATATAATCAAGAAATGATTGCAATGGAAAATTTAAAGATATGTGATATGTGTGAGTTAGAAAGATACACATGTAAATTTGAAGAAATATACTATATACTAAATCAAAGAGATTATCAAGAAAATAAACCTATATTAAAATTTTATTTTACAAAGCTACCATTCCCATGGGGAATTAAGCTATTAAAAGAATATGAGAAATTATTACCTCTGGGAGAAGAGGAAGGAATTAAATTTTACGAAGTTACCATTCCCATGGGGAATTAAGTTATTAAAAGAATATGAAAAATTATTACCTCTAGGAGAAGAGGAAGGAATAAAAATAGATAGTTTTGGAAGTAGAATTGAATTTACAAAAAGAATGATAGGTATATGGTGTAGAGAAGTTTTAGAAAATAAAAAAACATATAAAATAAGAAAGAATTCATTATGTTGTTACAAAGATAATGGGCAAGTTGAACAATTTGGACGCCATAAGAAGAAATATAAAAGAAAATTCAAAAATTAGAAAATATTCAAGAAAATGAATTTTAAACCACATAAAGAATATTTCAAGAAAATAAATTGGAATAAAAAATTTAAACCAAAAAATATTAAAAAATGTAGATATTTTATTTGTAATAAAGAAGGACACATTGCTCCTCAATGTCCTAAAAAGAAAGACATACAAAATATAAAAACTCTTAGAATTTATGAAAAATTTCAAGAAGATAGTGACATAGAACCAATTGAATATTTAGAAGATCTAAGTAGTGAATGCAATAGCATTTATGAATTAAATACATTCTCATTAGAAGAAAATTATGAGGAGATAGTATATATGAATCAAGAGATACAACAATCAGAAATAGAAATAGAAACAATTGAAGAAGTTGAAGACTCTATAGAAGGTATAAATTAAGAAATTACCTTTGATATTAAAAAATACACAGGAATCACTAAGAAAATATTAGACCTACAAGAAAAAGATGTATTCCATCAAGGATTCTTAGGAATTTTACCAAGAATAAATAAAATAATTGTAAATATGAATTATAAAGAAATGTCTATCAATATAGAAGATACTATAGGAAAAGCAAGAATTCCTATAATTACAAAAGAATGGGTAAAACAAAAGTTATCCAAAATCCCAGAAAATGTAAGAAATAAATTAAAATGTATTGAAATAGGAGAGTCCAGATAATGGTAAAAGGATTCTTTAGAGAAAGTATGAACATACCAATAGAAATATACTGTATGAACAATAGAATCTTACAAGATCCTATAGATGCTCTATTAGGAACAGTCGTAGGAAACTTAGTTTATCAGAAGATAATATTTACAGTAAAACCAAATTATGCAATATAATTAAATGATGAAAATATTGACCAAAGCTTCAATCTATATTATAGAATTGAAAACTTGAAAATGTTACGAAGAAGTAAAACTATTAGTATAAGTATAAAATCAATTTTTGCTTTTAGTACTAGCCATCATAACAAACTAAGGAAGATAATTGATAACATTATCGTACATAAAGATTTTGAGGAATTAGCACAATATATACCTCATAGGAAATACCAAGAACATGAAGTCATTATACCAGAACAGATAATGCTTGATTTCCACAAACAAACTTGAGAAATTAATTATGAAGGAAAACTAATAAAAAGAAATAGTGTCAACTTAGAAGGAGATAATCTTATTGCAAGATTTCCCTCTAGACAAGATTCTAGGATAAGCAGAGTTAAGAAAAGTATTGCTGAACTATCAAGTTCGCAATATTACATTAAGACAAGATATGTAAATCAAGAAGGATACAAGAAGAATCTTCTTGTCCTCATAGATACTGGAGCAGATAAAAGTCATGTAAATGCTAAATTTGTTAGTCATTTAATAGACTTTGAAATACCAGAACCATATATATTTAAGGATTATTTGGGAAATAATCTTGAAATAAGAAAATATGTTAAATTCCCTCTTATACTTATAGGAGAGGATCATAAAGAATATACTAAAAAATAATTCTATATAAAGATGAATTATAAGAAGTAGATTGTTCACCTATTCTATTAGGAATGAACTTTCTTGAGAAATATAGTCCATATAAAATCTGTCAAAGATATTTAAAGATAACAGTTGATGATAACCCAATCATCATATCAAGAATAGATGAAAATATGAAATCATTGTTATCATGGAAAGAGTAATAAGTACTAATCACATGAGTCCATATATTGAAATTACACTTAATCTAAAAAGTTATTATAGAATTAAATTTCATGCTTACTTAGATACAGGAAGTACAATAAGCTTATGCTTACCAAATGTACTACCATGTGAATATTGGATATACAATTCAAAGAAGATAGTCACCGCTATAACAACAGGTGAAAATAAGGTAATATACAGCAAATATGCTACGCAAGTACCTTTTTTAATTTCCTTTAGAGAAGTATTTGTTGATACAATATACATGTCAACCACAATTGGATGTGATATTTTATTAGGATAAAATTTTCTATTAAAATATGCATCATTTACATAATATATTGATAAGTATATATTCACAACACTTTGTGCACATAAAATATTAATACCAAAAATAAATAAAGCTGTTACAATTGCATATACAGATATAAACCATCAGAGTTCTTCAACCCAGCGTGGTGGATGTTGGAGTACAGAAAAATTTAAACCAGTTACAATTTTAAAAATGACAACAGAAAATAGGATTGAAAAATCGAAAAAAGAAATTTCTGAAACATATTCTAAAAATCCATTAGAAAAATGGAATACAAACAAAGTAAAGACAAAAATAGAATTAACTAATCCAGACACTATTGTTAGAGTCAAACCCATGAAATATAGTGTTGATGATCAAAAAGAATTTAAAAATCAGATAAAAGAATTGCTAGAAGCCAAGTTAATTAGGCCTAGTAAAAGTCCACATAGTAGCCCAGCCTTTTTGGTTAGAAAATATAGTGAGTTAAAAAGAGGAAAAGCCAGAATGGTGATAAATTACAAAAAATTAAATGAAGTTACTAAATTTGATGGATACTACTTGCCAAATAAGGACACCATTATTAAACAAGTACAGAACAAAAAGATATTTTCAAAATTTGATTGTAAATCAGGGTTTTGACAAATCATACTTACAGAAGAAAGCAAACCACTAACTGCATTTAGTACCCCCAATCCTTTAGGACAATACGAATGGAATGTAACGTCATTTGAGTTGAAAAATGCACCACGAATATTCCAAAGAAGAATGGATGAGGTAATCAAACCAATTACTCATTTCTGTATTGCATATGTAGATGATTTACTTATTCATTCAAATAATATAGATGAACATATTGAACATCTTGAGAATTTTTGTTATATTATGAAAAAACATGGTGTTACATTTTCTCAAAAGAAAGCTGAAATAGCTAGAACAGAAATAGAATTTTTAGGATTATTTATAAAAGAAGGAGAATTGCAATTGCAATCTCATATTGGAGAAAAGTTTCAAGAATTTCCTGAAAAAATCAAAGATAAAAAACAATTACAAAACTTCCTTGGTATATTAAATTATGCTAAAAGATTCATTGAAAATTGTGCCAAATTGAAAAATTATTTTCTTCCAAAATTAAGAAAAAATATAATGTGGTCTTGGGAAGAACAAGATTGTGAAAATATAAGGAAAGTAAAAGAAGAGTTAAAGGTATTGTCCAAACTTGTAATACTACAAGAAGAAAATTTCTTTATCCTTAAAACTGATGTTTCAGATAGTTACTGGGGAGTAGTATTAAAGGTTAAAAATAATCATAAAGAATATAAATGTGAAAAGAATTGTTCTTGTTCTGAAATACTTGCATGTTATACATTAGGAACATTCAAAGAAGTTGAAACAAGATATGAGACGAACAGGAAAGAACTCATTGCTGTAAAAAGAAGAGTTCAGAAATATGAAGATTATCTATTACCAAAGAAGTTCTTAATTAGAACTGATAATACTCAAGTTAAAGAATTTTTGAAAAATAATGTTGATCCATCTATTGCCAATAGATATATTATTAGAATTCAAATTTGGTTTTCATATTTCAAATTTGATATTGAATATATAAAAGATAAAACTAACTTTCTTCCTGATTATCTTAGCAGGGATGGAGCTAGAACAATTAAGGACAAAAGTCCAAATACTTGAGATAAAAGTTTCCTATTTGAAAACACAAATTCAAAATATCCAAGATAGCCTTCGAGGAAAAAATATAGCCCTTGAGGCTAAAGTTACTTGTACCAAATCTAGTATCCCTTTGCAGGTAATTGTGAATACTAGTGCTCTCCGCAAGAATAAAGGGAAAGAAAAGAAGGTAATAGGAACTCCTTCACAAGGAAAACTTGAACCTATTACTGGTAATAAAAATATTCAAGATATCAAAAGAGAAGGTAGCTCTTCACAGAGCCAAACTCAATCTAAACTTTCTATTGAAAGGATAGATCCAAAAAATATTGTCAAGATATGCCATGAAGCAAAAATTCCCAGAAAAGATAACCATGAAAAAGTAACACTCTTTATTGTTATTTTCAATATTTTATCAGATTGGTATCTGGAGATTGGAAAGTGGATGAAGACTCTCCACTATTCAAAATACAACAAGATAAATTTTTATCCAGGAACACCAGCCAACTGGGTACGAAATTGTTTTGAGATAGGAAATATACTTTGTATATATCCTAGCAAAGATCTCAAAGAGATAGCTCAACTTCCAGCCAACATCAGGAAAGCTGTTAAAAGATATATTGAAGTCGTCAAGACAACAAATATATATATTAGATTCCATTCAGCAATCATGGAATAGGATCTCGTTCTTAAATATATGCATCCATCATTCTATGTGATAAAAATGGTACTTACAAATCAATATTTTTTACCAACCAATCAAAAGGTTGTTAAAAATGGATATCAAGATATTCTAAATATGATACCCTACAGAAGAGCAAAATGGTACAAAGAAATATTTGAACATGTAACTCAAATAATTACTGAGAAAGAAAAAATATGAGTTTATCCATCTGAAAATCATATTATTTATTCCAATGCAAGGATGGTCACCAAGGAAGAAGATATTTGTTATCTCGATCATTTATTATCTGCAACTATTTCTAACCAAGTGAATGGATCCGAAGATATGGCTAAATAACTATGCAAATTACTCTGGAACTACAGTAATCACCATTGTGAATACTGTGTTGTTTAAGATATGAGTCAAGCATCTCTTAATAGTGAAGAATTCCCTACAGAATTCTTTGATTCGAAAATGAAAAAGTGATGGTGACAAAAGTAGCCCTTTATCACTACTTTAATAAAGAAATTTATTAAAGAAAAACTGTGGTTACTAAAAGACAGAAGATAATGCAAGAGAAGTCTCCATACTTGTGACTACTCCCCACCATTTGTCACAAGTGGCAGAAAAACTCAAAAGATAAGGCATATAATTTCAAAAGAAGAGGTCCACTTAGCAAGAAGATAATGAAAAATTCGGTGAAGATAAGATAGTCTAGCTACCCAACAAAGAAAGTGGGAAAACACCTGTCAAAATAAGATTCCCAAAGGCTTCTATAAAAGGAGGCAAGGAGGAAGAAAGAAGATAGATCGAAACAACTTATCTCTAAAACACTCTGAAGAAACACATCTTAGAGATATATCTTTTGTAATCTATATACACCACTTGTATTCAGAAAAATATTAGATAGCTTGAATATAGCAAAACTTGTAATAAGGTAATCACTTATGGAGTTCTAAACTTCATAAGATGAGTACCAAAGGTATGTAAATATAGATTGTAAGCATATATTATTTCAGTTTATGAATATCAAAGTAAAGTTTGTTATGTTTAACAAAGCTTTCATAAAAGGATTTCGTTAAGTTTCTCATGTTTCCTCGGCAGTACAGATAGAGATTTTAAAA